AGTAGTAGTAGCAGTAGCAGTAGTAGTAGTAGTAGCAGCAGTAGTAGTAGTAGTAGTAGTAGTAGTGGTGATAGTGGTAGTGGTGGTAGTGGTAGTGGTGGTAGTGGTAGTGGTGGTAGTGGTAGTAGTAGTAGTAGTAGTAGTAGTAGTAGCAGTACGAGTAGGCAGGCAGTGTACTGCTACTAAAGCCACTTCGGTTTTGAAGTGCGATTATTGTGCGGTTAGCAAGCTCCAAGACCTGCAGAACTGCACTGCCACTGCGATATTCACAAGCCTTGTGAGAAAAGAATATTAACGTGGCCAACTGGTTGGGTCTCTTTCCCGGTACAGCGATCGAGCCATCCCTGGATAACACAGATGCTTGGATGACCTGTAAACGCCACGACGGCATTCAATTGAGTCGTTGAGCCCAGCCTTCGGCTGCCAGAAATGACCCCAACATAGGCCCCAAAGAGAAATGCTCGGCCACCGGACTGCAATCCATCCACCGCCTGCAAAGACAAGACTGTGCAACGCATACATGTCGTTGATCCCGTGGGACCAGTGAAAGCACCGACCTCACAGTCACGAGCACAAAACGGAGAAAGACTCACGGCCACAGCTTTGCAGAGCGATCTGCTAAGTGCTCCTTTTCCTCGCCGTCGTCATGAATCGTCATCATTCACAGCGCTGTCAGCCTCATCGACGTCGTCCCTTCTCGTCGTCGTCCGACTCCCCCGCCCCCTCTCGTCGGCACGTCATCAGCCTCGCAGTCTTCCTTATCCTGCTCTGAGTCTCGTGCTCGTGGTTGTCATCGTCGTGAGTGCCATGGTCATAGTCAAACTGAGTACACTTTGAACCGGCAAGCTGCAGGCGGCTGCCGTCTCTTCCTCCCCTCCTGCCTCGAGCACCGCGCTGCGCTGCGCGGCCTCGCGGCGGAGCCTCGGCAAGTGCGGCGATGGCCCAATCGCACGGCTCAAGTGGCAGCCACCCATCCCAGATACCAAAGACGAAGCAAAGCATAGGGATTTGAGAAGCTTGAATATCTGGGCCACGGGAACCTGACAGACCTGGCCTTTTTCGTTGCCTTTGGAATTGCGTAGGGTCTCCTTATTGGAAATAAAGATCAAGCCTGTGCAGTTCCGACGGGAACATGCGACGGACCCGGAATTGTCATGACAGTTCTTCGTTGCCGAATGACATCGTGGGCTTTTTGGTCTCAGGCGATTGTCTATGATCGGGGTGTAAGCTGCAACAGTACGCTACGGCAAACCAATAATACGAGTCCCTGCATTACCGAGGTAGATCAGCGAGCTAAGGCATGACATCTGCATGCTTGGCAATTGTTGGCGAAAGAGTTCCTTTCGAGGTGGCTGCAACAACGGGCTTCAGTTAGACAAGGATCCCAACGAGGGACCCGGATCAGAAGACACCCCCCAAATACAAGCTGAAACCTCACTTGCTGAGTGCCGCAGCCGCTCCCAACCATCCTTGGCAGATGCTTAATCAATCCATGTTCGGAAGGTGGAACATGGGACTTGCTGAGGTTACACGCAGTTTTACTGTTTCTGAAGAGAAGGAGCCCTTACTGGGGTCATGGTGGTCATCCTGGTCATGAGTGCGGAGTTAGTGGCCCACCAGATCTCTTTCCAGCTCGATGGCGTTCAACATGTATTCGCCCATGTCCTGTTCAAGAGGCCCACCGGAGCCTGGAGCAGGCCTGTTATGTCCAGATGCTGCCGGTTCGCAAGCATGCAGCACCAAGCTTGTCGCGCACTGTGCGGCCAGGAGTGCATGACTTTAGACAAGAATTCGAAGATTCCCTCCTGCCACGCATGGCTGATGAAGACATCGCAATCCAGGCCCTCTGGGTTTCTCATTAACGCCCAGCTCATCTTACCGGCAAGATCTGTGACCGGCTTGATGTGCTGCTCGATCACGGTGTAGATGCTTGGTCCGTAGTGGCCATCAGCATCGAGAAAATTGTCCGTCCCATCGTCGGGCGGTTTGAGGTATCTAAGGTCCGGATCAAGCACCAGCGATCAGGTGAGATGTACCGGTCCAAAGCGGTTTTCTGTTTCAGGTTCGTTGGTTTACCCTACCATCCCTAAGGCCTGACCCGAGCTGCAGCTTTGTGTTGATGACACGATTGAATGTACTGGCCTTTGGGCAAAGACACTCGCCCAGATAAGCTCAAATTGGGCACCTAAGATCTACTGCTGGAACTCGTCCCACACCAACCAGCCAATGAGAATGCCCAGGCTCGGATGCCGTGCTGGCCAAGCTCTCGGTGGCCTGCGCCGCGTGGTGCAATCTCTCTGTCTCATAGACTTATAGATATAACAAACTAAATATCATACATGCCGATGCACATGAACTTGATGTGTCTTTATCTTTCTCCCTCTTCCGGTATGTATATATATATATATATAACATATGTATATGTAGCGTTGTGCGTAAATGTACATGCATATATGAGTATATATGCATATACATATGTATACACACACACATGTATGCGCGCAGACACACACACACGTGCATATATAAATATAAATATATATATATATATATGTATACACACACATCCATATCTATGCATGTGTGTAAGCATAGAATAGCATAGACATATATACATGTATACATATGCATGCATGCATGCATGCATGCATACATACGCACACACATACACACATACATACATACATGCTACATACATACATACATACATACCTGCATACATACATGCATACATACATGCGTACATACAAACAACCATACATACACACATACATACGTGCATGCAAGCTTGCATGTAGACATGCATACATACATACATACATACATACATACATACATACATGCGTACGTGCGTACGTGCGTACGTGCATGCACACACGCATCATCATGCATCCAGGCTTGCATGTTTATATGCTTGCAGGCATGCATTTAGAGATAGGGCCGTCTTGGCGAGTTGTGCGCTGTTTGGCGCTTCGGTTCGGGCTTCGTTGTCGCAGAAGCAGCGGCTATGCTTCGGAGCTCTCCGTCCATTGCAGCACAGTAACGACTTCTTAGTTTTTAGCTCTGTGCCCGGGGATTGGGACCCAAGCTGAGCTCTCATGAAAAGGCCTGAGTTTCTGAACGAGTTTTTGAGGTATGGAGCTACAAAAACGATCGGGATGACGCTACACTTCCGAGCACCGGCGGGTGCCGCCTTGGGGAGTGGCATTGCAAGCTTTTGATGGGTCTTGCTTTTGGGATTAGGTTGTGGTTAGGAGTTAGAACACAACATGTGGCGATTGAGCTTGCTAGTTGAAGCTACAACATGGGGTCCGCTGACTAGAGATCTGACTGTCTTCTTGCTCACCCTCACGTTTGCACGAATTCTGAGCATGCTTCTTTTCTCTGACTTATCGGTCAGTCAAGCCTGAGAGACCCAACGCTCGCAACTGTCATCCACGAACAACGAGCCCTGGATCCTGAGTCCTGGGTTTAGGGTTTAGGGGACCTAGAAGCGCACCGACATGCAAGCCTCAAGCTGAAATTCCCGAACCTGTGTCCATGGATGCCTCTGCAGCAAGACCGTCTGCTGTCTAATCATTTATACAGAATCGACATGCTAGACAACCTTCAAAGCCCGGTAAGCCTGGCACTTGGATTCCAGCCCCAAAGGCTTCCGCGGCTCGGCATCACGAATATCATGGTTATTCGGGGCATAAGCATGCAGCATATGATGCGATGCATTCGCAAAGCCTCGAAGTCAAACGACCCCTGCTTATGCTTCAGTCAGGCTTGGCCCTGTCACGCTACCCAGAAGCCAATGAAAGGAAGGTCCGGAGAACAAGGTACCAACAACAGAAGATCTAGCAGCTTCTAGTCCCGACCCTAGAGGCTCACTCCCTCTCGGGCCTTCCGGGCAGCAGCGAGGAGAGCCATCCGCCGACGCCAAAGCTGTTGCAAGCGGTTAGTGGGCTCGGAGCATCGAGTTGACTTGGAGGCTTCCTATGTTTCTGCTTCATGACTACTGGCAAAGGAGCTCCACTTACAGTGCAATCACTGTACAAGAAACGATTGGATAAGAAACGTAGGGGCCACCTCAGCCGGACAGCACCAAAAAACCAAAATCTTAAACTGCCTTCTAGCAAAGAAATGAAGGGTACCCAACGTTTTAGGATCATTTCTTATTTTTGTGGTTTTCCAGGTCGTGACACTACAACATTGTACATGTAGCAGAGCCCAAACAAGAAATGTAGTGTGCTACGTTTCTTATTTTGGCTGGTTTCCAAGCCCTAGGCCTAGGACACACAGCAGGAGCCAAAACAAGAAACGTAGGGGGCTACGTTTCTTATTTTGGCTGGTTTCCAAGCCCTAAGCCTAGGGCACAGGGCAGCGTGGCCCACTACGGAGCCGGACCCTGTTCTGGCAGTTGCATCTAGACACTAAAGACTGAAGTCTATTGTAATACTGTCTTGGCGGTGTCTGTCTGGCCTAATGGTTAAGGCGTTTAGCTCAGTTGATGACCTTTCATGGGCTCGATCCCCGGCTAAGAAATGGTTGAGAAATGAAGGGTACCCAACGATTGGGGGGGCTGAGAAATGCGGAAATGTGAACCTGAAAGGAAGCTAAGAAATGAAGGGTACCCAACGCTGGAAGCTGGCATTTCTTATCCAGCAGATTCACTGTAGTGCTTCTGGATGACGCCTATTTCGAGCTGTCTTACAGTTCAGGGCCTGAAAGCTTCAGAGTTTGTGGTAAAATGGTGATGATAATGATGACGAGCATGATCATCAACATGATCAGGATCAAGCCGTGATGAAGATCACCAAGAAACGCTTTCGTTGTTGCTGTAGACACTACTGGTAGCACACTCTCGCGCACCTTCTCACACATACAAGCAAAGGACACAAGCTGTTGCTCCTTCACATGTGGTACCCCTCCAGAATCCCAGGACCAGACCTGGCTAAACTCGTAAGTCGTCAGTACCGAAACCAGCGAAACCTCCTGCTCCGCCGCTCTGCCCACTCTGCCCCGCTGCACGCCTCCAGCCGCCGAGACCAGCTCGGCTGCCAGGCGGCCCACTGGCCCTTTGAGCAGTCGGCAGGACAGATCTTCTCCGTTGCGGCGGCGATCAAGCTGTTTAAGCAAAGGCATGAGAGCATACTGAGATGCATTCCTGATGCGGTTCATAGCACGGGAACTCAGCATGCGCGACCGCCGCAGAAGGCCACTCTGCGAAGTCAAGACAAGTGTGTGCAACACCCCGAGTTGAGGCAGTTCGATGCCAGGAGAGTTCTTTACAAACGGATCTGTCTCTGAGCACGGGGTCCTCTTTGCCGTTTCTCAGTATATCTGCTTTGGATTCTTTGGATGTCTGGGTTCCTAAAGTGACTCTGCTTTGCAAGGTCTCGGTGTGACCCATGCCTGTGCGATTGGATTCGGATCTACCAGCGCATCGAGTAGTGAACAGTGAAGAAGCCAAAGCGCTTCTGTTTCCAGGAACTCCACGACCAGAGTGTTTCGAGCGTAGACCGGAAATCACAAAGCTGAGGCCTCCTTCAAGCTGAAACCCAAAGCTGGAGAAAGCAAAGACGAAAGCATGGCTCTGGCGGCTCGGGCAGCGTCTGGCCCCTGTTAGCAGCTATGACTTCACCGGCCTCGAGATGCCGCTTGAGGCTGGTCGCCTCAAGATCGGCGGCCTGCGCGAGTCTTCCGAGCTTTAGGGGCGCTTAGTAGGCCTTGCAAGTCTCGGAAATGAATAACAGTTTGGGGTATCGGGGGTGCTGTCTTCTTCACTTCGCGCTGAGGGTTTGTTGAGCTTGACTGTTCAGACTTCTGATTGGCTTGCATGGGAGAGTCGCCGAGGTGATCTGATTAAGAGATCTGTGCTCCCCCGTGGCTTTACCACAGAAACAAGATTTGTCTGTTATTGGGACTCCTACATTTAAGTCGCAAGTTTTGGAAGTGCCTTTCGGCTTGGCTAGATGGAGTTCCATAACCCCTCCAACTTTCGGAAACTCCCCTGCAAGTCCCCAACCCTGCTCTGCCGAGGCCTCCTTCTCTTGTCTGGCTTGCTGCAACCCTGGGCACTGAGAACCGGGAGGTGTTTCGGTAAGGTTTCCGGTAACTTCTTGATCTTGGTGTCCTATCTCGAACAACTCTGAGGCCCTCCACCTTCAGACTTGGAGCGTGCTGTGCTGCAACAACCACATTTCGAAGCACAGGGCCGGCTAGCCCATTTGCTTCCAGCCTGAATCCTAAAATTCAAGCCCTACATGGCAGAAGCATTCCGCAGGCTCCGCCGCTCCGCGCGGTGTCTTGGGCACCCACCGCTCATTGCTTGCTGCCAGTCGGCCCGTGTCTCGGCAAAAGGGCATACTGGCAAAATCTTCCAAGTGACCCGGCGCGACGTTATTTTGCTTTCTGGTCTGTCTACTGCATAGAGTATTGGGATTACAAGATGCGAAAATTGCGCATCATCGCGGCTCCTTTGACACATCAGAGTTATTTAATCTCTAAGCTCAAAGCATGAACCCTGGGCGTGCCCAAGCAACTGAAAGGAAGGGTCCAACTGTGGACAGCGCAAACAAGGCTTCGGTCCTTTGAGGCCTACAGTAGGAATTACCATGCCGATGTACTTAGATCAACTTGTGAATGAGGCCAAACTGGAGTAAGCGATAAAGGTTGGTTCAAGCTTACCATTTGTGCATAGACAAGAGGTGAAACATCGGTAAACTACCTTCTTAGCGTTACGAAGCCGACCAGGTGACCATGCGCAACCGGGTTTGCAACCCACGGCGTCACTTGGGGGGCACGAGAAGCTACATGAGTTGCTAAGGACCATGTCTCCCACAGGAGTTTGGTCAGGGAGAAAGCCGTAAGCATATCAGACCTAGACAAGATTGAGCCAATGTGAACTGAAGCCAGCTTGGAAGACATAAAGGGTCAACTCCCTGAATTTGTGTCGCGAACATCATAACCCACTCGAAACCGTGCGTCGACGCATCGACTTCTGGTCCCACCCGTGCAACCCCTTCGCCGCCCCCCGCCTCCCCACCCTCGATACTTCTCATTTCTGAGACTTTAAGCGTAAATCCCCTCGGACGGCACCCTGAACGCCGAAGCTGAAGCTCGACAAGCACGTCATCTGACACATGTATCGCAGGCGGGCAAGATGCACACAACACAAACAGCTGTGAAAATTGAAATCCCCTGAAACGCCGATACCCTTGAGCTCCGCCTGCCCATAGTGCTCCTCGAGGCCTGCTGGGTTTACCGGTTAAGAGCAGACGTTGACAACATGATCAGACAGATGGTACTCCGGCATTGGGAGGACCACGCCTTGGATGGACTGGAGTATAACGATCTGAGCAACTCTCACAGGGCTGGACAGCGCCTCTGCCAGAAAAAACAACCTTCAGCCCATAACAAGTGCTGGTACAGATATCTGGGAATCCTCGCAAAACTCTCCTGCTAACAGCTAACAGTCAAGAGCCCAAGGCCAGAGCCGCAAGTCAGGCCCAAAGCTCCTCAAGCCCACTATCAAAGAGCTGTTGCACCCAGCCTTGCGATTCTGCTCGAAGCGCGTCACGCTGCTCACAACGCGCCTGTGGACGGTCTAGGAGTTAGTGGCCCCGGGCAGCAAGGGATTGCGGATGTCAATGACGAGCATTTTGCATGAGAAATTTCCTTCTTCCTGCAGGATCTTCTTCGTACAGCGGGGGTGATTCTCAGAATTAGAAACTTCGCCTCAAGGTGGACATTTGCCCCCAGAGCAGAAAGAAGAACTGTCTGGTGTGTAGTTACTTTCCCTTACATAATGTGTAACAGTAGAAGCTCATGCGAACCCAGGTACCTCACGTCTTTGTCTCATTTAGACCTTTATCTCATGCCGCCGCTAGCCTATCACCGAAGCACTCCGAAGCTGGCCTGGAGACCGGCCTCGGCAGCAAGAGCCTGCGGTACAGGAACGGAGGGGCTTTCTTTTCAAGAGCACGGCTCCCTTATTGACGGAACTTTAGGTCAGACGGTCATGCAAACCGCCCCATCTTGCTGGCTCCTTCGTGACACCTCAAAATTCCGCAAGCATGGCGATTCAAAAAGCACTGGCACAACAAAAACACTCGTTACTGAAATGACCGCCTAAAGGTATATCTGCGCATGCTTTTGTGTGTGTATATATATATAAATATATAAATATATATAGCTCTATACTATACATACGGAACATATATATATATATATACATATACACATGTATATGTATAGATACATACATACATACATACATACATACATACTTACATACATACCTTCCTACATCCATCCATCCACCCATCCATCCATCCATCCATCCATCCATCCATCCATCCATCCATCTGTCCTTCCAGCATTCCATCCTTCCATCCTTACATACAAAAATACATACATGCCTACTACATACCTATCTACCTACGTTTACATACCTGCATACCTGCAGACATGCATACCTACATACAAACGGACAGACGGACAGACAGACCGACGGACGGACAGACATACGGACAGACAGACACACAGAGACGCAAAGACACAGAGACAAGAGACAGACAAGAGACGGAGACAGACAGAGAGACAGAGAGACTGACAGGAGACGCAGACAGACACAGAGACCCACAGAGACAGATGCAAGTACGTATGCAAGAACTATGTATGTCTTTATGTATCCAGACAGTGTTTATTTAGTTCGTTACTCAGTTTTGTGTTTTTCTTCGTGCTGAGTTATTCTTTGGTTTACCTATCTACAACCAGTTCGGCAGGACTGCAGAGGCACTGCGTGTTGAACAACAGTTCGACTTTGGAGCTGTGAGGACCTGTTAGAGCCTCGCCAAGCGAAACGAAAGGACACAGGGGCCTTATTCATGAATCTTCCAAGTACAGGCGCTCCGACGCTGTGGTTGCCTGCTGCTCCAACTGCTGCGGATCCACGGCACAGGCCTGGTGTTCCTTCGCGGCGCATGCGAAGGGTTGAGGGCTTTAAGTAATTAGGGCTTAGGGCTTCAATCTTCGGGTGAACGGGTTGTGTCCGCTGACCGAAAGATGTTCCGGTCTAGGCACAAAGCACAGGGTCCCTAACACCTCCACCAGGTGTTTTTGTGCAATTTGCGCTCGCACACTACGGTTTGGGATCAAAGCTGACGGGCGAGAGGATTTGGTCTGTTGAGGCCTGCTGAGAAAACAAATTGCAAAGACCTTCAAGCTCAGTACTGTTGACAATGACTCATCGTGCAGACCTGAAGCAGGTGTCCACGTCAAGAAACCAAGCCGTCTCAGTAAAACCTTGAGGACAAAGCATTGAGATGAAGCATTCGGGCATCTACAGTAGTCATGCAGCTCGCCTGGCTCAGCTCGCCAGCACGGGCCCGGAGCTTGCTGGACTCGGCCTTCATGCTTGGGCGCGAAATACAGATCCTCACTCAGCATCCATCGTTGGCAATACTCCTGCCTTATGCCTCTATAAACAGAACTGTATGACAACATAGCCAACACCCCGTTCCAATGATTGAGGCCCCTTGGCTGGGCGGTCTCGGAAAGAGGATGGACGTTTTGCGGGAAAGACAGGCTCGCAGTGAGTTTTCGCTGAATGTCTGGCCCGAGCCCACGCGCGAAGGAGCACCCTTTACGACCCTACCTTGCTTACGATGCTGAGGATCCACAAAAAGGACCCTTAAGTAGAACAACCTGCGACGGTCGGAATTGAAGAGGAACGGATCTATCGGGATATCAGATATCAACATATTTGACGGTTGTCGATGTCGCTTAGGGGCAAGGGGTAGTAGACGGACTCCTTCGGCACGTTGCCAAACAGGTTCGGATACTTTCTGAGGTCATCCCAGGGTCCCAACATTGAAGCTGTCTACATTTCTCGGGTCTCAAGCCGCAGCGCTCCAAGGCCCGGGAAAGCAGCCAGCCTTTAGCTTCTCCATCTCTCGGGCAGCAGCCCCTTCCAGCCTGGTCACCATCCGTCAACACGAAAGTTGGCAGCAACCTCCACATACCCGTATGTGTTGAATTACGTGTCGGTATTGTCATGTCAACGCCACCAAGCCAACTTCCTGACATCCTAGCCTCAATGCAGAACAAATTGTCACTGAAAGATCGACACGTGCTTCCTGACCACTGCAAGAACTATCTGCTGTAGGAATGATGCTAATCAGCATACCAGAACTGGTGGCACGAGAAAGATGGTGCAAACAATTGCGTGTATAGCAGCCAGACGACAAGCAGCAAACTACACAACTTACAAAGGACATACTGAAACTTGAGTGTGATGTGCACATCGTGTGTACATGTGGATGAAGTGACGTTTATATTGGAAGAAGCTGTTGCAGGAGTTCCCCCTCCCTTTACACCATTCCGGGGAGTCAGCGGGCGGCCATCCTGCTCTTTCTGGAGCTGGAGCGCCTGCTCTCACTGCCAACACTTGTAGTAGCAGTAGCAGTAGTAGCAGTAGTAGTAGTAGTAGTAGTAGTAGGTGGTAGTGGTAGTGGTAGTGGTAGTGGTAGTGGTAGTGGTAGTGGTAGTGGTAGTAGTAGTGTAGTAGCAGTAGTGGTGATAGTGATAGTGGTAGGGGTAGTGGTAGTGGTGGTGGTGGTGGTGGT